GTATTTGAATATTGAGATTTCCCAGCTGGAAAGAAGCAAAAACATTTAGCTCACAGGGAAAATCTCAACATTTTAAGGCATTTTTCCTCAAAATCTGGCTTTTGGTTGCTAATGCTCAAAAAAGAGCTTCAAAACAATCTTTGAAGATTATATTTCAGACAGTTCATTGAAATGATACATTGACAACACATTTGTTATATTTTGACAAAATGTAATTTTTGCAAGTGTTTTAATCAAAACATCTGCCTATTTCTCCACATACAACTTCTAGACCAGAGAAGCCCAAAGTGGGGCCCGCGGGCCAAATTTGGCCCGCCAAGCCATTTGATTTGGCCCACCAACAGTTGCCAAAGTTACAAGGTTGTAACCTGTTTTCCTATGTAGAAACACAGTATTTCCATTGGTCAGATGACTATATAAAAGGGCTGTAGTGAAGGTTTTCATTCGTGGCGCTGACATATCTTTGATTTATTAGGATTAAACATGAAACATGAAATGACAATAAGAAATTTTTAAATCAGATATAACCCCACATGTAGATTTGCACACTTTATAAGGCCACAAAACTCATTTTATCAATTTATGAAATGTCCCATGAGCCTTTGCTACTTGAGCGTATGGCAGACTTTCTCCAAGTGCACAGACCAAAACAAAAGAGGGCCATTGCACAGCTTAATCATTAAAAATAAAGGACTTTACTTTAAAAAAGTATTTGTATTTCATGTATTATATAACTGCATATGGCCCGCAGCCCTGGATAGATTTTCATTTTGGCCTTCTCGGGGAAAATGTTTGGGCACCCCTGTTCTAGACTTAATCCTCGTTTCGATGTGATGGGTCACATTTATCTGCAGAGCAGTTACTTGTATTAGAGAAATAATACGATATATTTAGTGTCTGATGTTTAAAAAGTGAATGTAATTTTTTTAATTAATGTTGATTGAAATGATTCCATATAAGCAATAAAAGGTAGGAAAAAATAAGTGTTTTCAACGGTTGATATTATGTTGCTAAAYTCTCTTCCCTCCCTCCCCCACAGCTTGTAACTACCCATGTAGAAAAAAAAAACATTTACACCTGATTCTAAAAGATTTTCCTAAAAAGAAAAAAAGTCTCAGAACAGCAGTCTTACCCCTTACTGAAAATGCACTGCGTCTACAGAGAATCAGCCGAATCTGGAATCAATTTTCTGCTGTGATTTCCTTTGAAAATCCACAAACACCACTGCTGTCCTGCCCCCTTCATCTCCTTTTTGTCACTTTCTCCTAGTTGTGTGTTTGTAAATGAGTGTGTGTGGTTAACTCACCCCAGCTGGTCTGTCAGGTCCCACAGTACGTTGGGCGTTGGCATTAATGGTGAACCATCGTATAAAACCACCGAGGCCCCCACTGCCAAGGAGGACACCAGCCAGTTCCACATCATCCAGCCAGTCTAACAAAACAAACGTCGATACAATCAGTGATCTACAAAGGAGTGATCTGAAACGAACACTCCTTTGTTGTCAACATAAACAAAGCAGAATGCAGCAAAAAGTTTWAAAAAAATCTCCTGCAGACTGTGATTCACATGATTGCTTTTCTCATTTGAMAACACGCTGAGATACTTCTTTGGCACCATTCTTCATTGGTACCAATGTGAATATTGAGTCTACTCCATGAAAAGTGTCTGCAGGGCCAAAACACAGCCTTACATAACACCAGCTAGTGGCAATACATTCGGTGAGTCGATTGATTACTCCGCTGAAAGAAGATGAATCATCAAGTTTAAGTGAAACAAATGTGCCGAAGCTTTGGGGGGAAACTGCGGGCTCGTGATCGAACAGAACAAGACAAAATTCTCACTTATAGGAACAGATTAGGTTAAACTTGAAACCCTGAAAACTCAACGTAGATGGGGATTTAAGCAAATGCGGGCCAAACRGAAGCAAAATGTAAGCAATAAACCAGAAGTTATCTAAAACTCTACTTGTTTGTTCACAATACTTTAATTGATAACCAGCTTGTTCAGTTTTGTTTAAAAATATAATGAAAGTGTGAAATAAAAGTGTTATTTTCATTAAAAATGTGATTTTTTTTAATACGGTTTTTGAATTAATTAGTAAAGCATAATAAACTTTGGATTCCTTTTCTGTTTTTAATATCTGCATTCAGCTTTGAGCAGATTTGTGGAAAATACCTTTTTCATATGAAATTTGAGGGTAGCTTGTACAAAGCTCTTCAACTTAAGGTTTTCCAAAAGTAGTTTTTAAAATTACACGTGCTTCAGAAATTATAACTAAATCTCATTCTTATGATTTTCTTGGGATACACTTGAGATTTTCTTCAAGGTGAGCTGTATGATTCACCAAGCCTGTAACCSTCATCTGTTGCTCATAAATACTAAAGACTCGTTTTTAAGCATRGTTGTTTGTTCTAAAGTAGGCAACGTGACCAATAAGAACTAGTAGTTCATGTTTTAAAAATATTCTGGAGTGTCTGCTTTGATTTTTTCTGAACAAAGGGGAGCATGTCAACAATTCTTAAAAGGGGGTGGGGAGCGTGGTAACCTTCATATCATGTTAAAATGCCATTACCTCATCAAAATCATAACCAGAGTGTTGCTTTGACTCATTCATGCAYGTTTGAGGAATCTTWGAATTTCCTGTGGTAACCATGTGGAGCTGCCTAAATGTTTGCTACAAAGCACCGCCTATTTACACAAAGCTCCTCCCTGGCACTCAGTCCTCCTTCCCAAGCTACCTGCATCATCCTGACTTCATGAGTGTTTTCAGAGATTTGCTTTGATTTGACTTCCTAATMAGGATAACTCCTGTCCTGAGCCTGGTTCAGCTGAAGGTTTGTTCCTGTTAAAAGGAGGTTTTTCCTCTCCACTGTSGCCAATGTGCTGCTCAGGATGGGAGACGGTGACGAAGTGAAGATTCAACACAATCTGCTGGCTTCTTCTTTAGATTTATTGATTTTTGTGTACAGTGCCCTAAGATGATGTTTGTTGTGACTTGGCGCTATATAAATAAACTGAATTGAATTGAACTCATTGATATTTGGTCTGAATCCTATTTTAAGGTTACCGTATTTTTCGGACTATAAGCCACGACTTTTTTCCTGAACTTTGAACCATGCGGCTTATAGACCGGTGCAGCTCATACATGGATTTTTTTCTTCAGCCACCAGGGGGCTCTTATGCTCCATTTGCTTCAACCACTCGCTTCAGAAAAAAAAAAGGAAAAAAAAGGAAAAAAGTGATCGCTTCCAGAGCCGACTGTTGTAACAGGAAGCAGCAATTTAAAGATAGTCAATGGCCAAAATCTCATAAAAGGGGATAAAACAGACATTTTTCATGGTGGAATCTGACTGATAAAAACTTTGGAGCTTAATCCAGGACCAGTTTGTGGATAAACGTCGAGTGAAGAGCCGCGGACTTTTTTTTCCTCATTGCACTCCCTGGGGAAGGAATCCCATGCAGTGATGTATGCTGCAGCGGGGGGGCTTTCCCACCACAGCTTCAGAGCCAGCATTACCCCTGGAGGACAGCGACACAGAAAGCAGCACTGAACAGATACCGCTGTGTGACGCAGCTTTTCTCAGCTGCTTTAACTCCGATACTGAAGAAGACTTCGATGGTTTCAGCGCACCGGAGGACAATGAATGAGACGTTTTGTTGGACCAGAAACTGTTAAAGAAAACTACCAAAATAAGGTCAGTTATATGAACTGTATTCCTCTGAACTTTAATTCTTAAAAGGGTTGCTTTTTATGTTTTGATGTTGAATTCACTTCTTTTGATGGCAAATTTGGGTGTACTGTTTTTTTTTTTTATGTTGGGGGTGCGGCTTATAGTCCTTATAGTCGGCTTATATGTTAATGTTCGTGGATTTTTTTTTTTAAAATGGCGGGTGCGGCTTATAGTCCGAAAAATACGGTATTCTAAAGAGGAAATTTTGATGTACACAGAGTTGTAAAGTAACAAAGTACAAATACTTTGTTACTGTACTTAAGTAGAAATTTTGGGTATCTGTACTTTACATGAGTAATTATTTTTCAGCTTATTTTCACTTTTACTCATTACATTTTTACACAGTTATCTGTACTTTCTACTCACTACATACTTTAAAAAGGTAAGAAGTAGAAAGTTTTTACTCCCATTTTACTCCAAGTTGTTATTACTTAAAGAAATACTATCCTGATAAATTGTGTCTCCTGGATAGAGTGAATTTAACTGTGGTTGGATGAGAAGTATAAATATATACCATTCTGACACACTATTAGCTTGTACACAGCACATCACAGCTGCACTCTGTTAGAAAAAATGTTTTTTGGAGAAGTCACCTCCCAATAAATGTCATTTTGGAAAATCTAACTGCTCACTTTAACTCAATACTTTTACTTTTAATACTTARGTAGATTTTGTGTCAGAAATTTACTTTTGATACTTAAGTACAAAAAATATCAGATACTTTAAGACTTTTACTCAAGTAATATTTTTAGAGAAGACTTTAACTTTTACCTAAGTATTTTTATGATAAGATACTTGTACTTTTACTCAAATATCACTTTGTGGTACTTTATACAACACTGGATGTACAGTAATGTTAAAAGAGGAAACCTCAAACAATATTGGGATATTAAGATTTACCAGCAGGAAGAAAAATGGCTTTGCCACTTCACAGGGAAAAATGACAAAATCATTAAGGCTTTTCTACTTAAAATTATGTTTTTTTTGTAGTTACTGCTCAAAAATAATGCTCCAAAAATGATGCAAGATTATATTTCAGATATTTAATTTAAACAACCCATAGATAAGGTATTTAATCATTATATTTTGATCAAAAGCAATGATTGCAAACATTTTAACCAATACGCTACAGCTGCCTGTTTCTCCATACACCATGAATGTGATGGGTCAAAATTAGTGTTTTCATACAACTGAAGGCAGCATAGTTACTTGATTGCAAAATAGAATTGAACCATGTGCCTGGAAAAGGCATAATACCCTCCCTTTAACACAACTCAGAGAAGACTTACCTGCACCAAAAACCTACTWAATAAGCTGTGAGTTAAGTATTCCTGTCAGTTCAGCTAACACGAACATGGGTTTTACATAAACCTCCTACAGAATCCTAAACTCGCAAGTTAATGGAGCTGCGTAAAACCGAAAAATACAGGATCTTTGAATGTTCAAACGTTGCAGTAAAAATGCTGTGGACATACCGTGGTGTAGTAAATAATAACATCGCTGGTGGTCATATTGCCATGGAGGATGTGTTCTTTCAGGTGCTGGATGAGAGTGCCCTAAAAAAGACAAAGAGGAATTAAGTTTGTTAGCGAGCAACATTTTTCTTTAAGCGTAGTTATAATTTGTGGACAGAACTCAGTCATCAAACAGCTGCCCTCAGCAGCGGTTGGATCCTTTATATCAACAAAGAATAAAGAATATTTGACACAAAAAAGGCAGTGGCATTGTTCTCCACATTATAAATACGTTGTTTTTTATTGTTTAAATATTACTCCCRTCAGTGTTCGCACACAAAATGCTTGCAGACAATACTTGCTCCACCGCTGCTTTATTTCATGAAACATGCAGTTTGTGGAAAGTGCAAAGTTTCCAACCCATCGCAGCTGGTGAGGTCATTACAGCAGAAGAAGAGTATAAAGTGTGGAGAGAATGTGAGTGTGGGTTTAAGGTGTGAGCTTATGTGTACTTTCTTTTCCACAAGGGCTCCACCTGTGTCTGTGTACGTGTGTCTGTGTACGTGTGTGTGTGTGCACAGTTGTGCATCCCGACTTTGGCGAGACTCGACTGCCATACTCACATTTTTGGCGTGCGCCATTTTACTACTGGCAGCATGTTAACAGAGCCGTAACAAAGCAGGAAGCAGAACAGGACCGGGGCTAATTGGCCGAGGCAGCGAGGACTGCCACCGTCACAATACGAAATGTTTTCGGCAGCGCATTACAGTCCAATTATTGGCCGCATGGAAAGAGAGGCGAAGCACAAAGGGAAGAGATGGGAGACGGGGGACAAAGTCAGAGACAATAGGAGGGGGAAAAATGAGCTAGAGAGAGAAAAAAAAGGTAAAATGTGTGGGTGGAAAGAGAGAGGCATAAAAGAAAGAACAGAGAGGGGAAAAACACAAAAAAGTACACAGAGCTAAGGTAGAAAACTAATCACAAAGATGGGCTGGCAGAACAAAAGTAAAGCCAGAAATGAGAAAACAGGAGAACTTTTTAAAAATAAATCCTAAATGTCTTTGTTTGTGTGCTTAAAATTATTCTGAATACTTTTCTAAGTGTAATAATCCTTTTGAAATCACATTTTTGGACACCCTGTGTCCACCTGATGAGATGTTGTGGCAGGAAAATGTCACTCACACATGAGAACAAAGACCAAGTGTGGGATCAGCAGATGGAAGTCTGCTGCCATCTGGTGGTCACATAAAGTAGTTTAGGTTGGCTTTGACGAGCTGCTGTGGAAATGATTTCCCCAACTCAACATTCTCAAACTATTTTTGTGTTATTGTATGGTGCTACATTGAGCAATAAATATCCCATAAAATAACATGCAGAGCATTACATGTGACTTTAGATTTACAAATTTTTACTAAAAACAGATGCTAGAAAAAATACATTCTTTCTAAGAATCAGCTGTAATGGGTCAACCCTGCCAGTCTAACCAGCCCCATATAACCAATTCATATCAGCTTTGTTTAAATTGAAAGTCTAGCAGGACACTAAATAAGCATTTACTCTTTAGAAAAGCATGAGTCAAGAAAACATAACCTCTAACTCTATAGACAAAATCAAAACACATTTTCTTCTTTATGGAACAGATACTGGCAAAAAAAATATCACAGAAATATTTTTTTCTAATTCAAATAACTTTAAATTAAAAGCATATTTCTGTCAGTAATAGAGGAATGCAGAAATGAACCAACACGGTGCACAGCTGGTCTGCTGACTGTAACGTCCACTCAAAGGTAACTGGCAGTCTGATTCGTCATCGTGTCTTAAACTGGCCGTAGGTTTGCTTGCAGGGCAAGGCTGACCTTTGTGAAAATGCAATGATGGATTACGCCTTCCACCCTGCTGACATCAGTGAGTCATTCCTGTTAAATATTCGGCCATATTTATTCGAATCAGAGCTAATAGACAGGAAATAAATTAAAAAGAAGATGAGATCTGGAAGACAGAAGATGAGGGAAAACAGACCCTGAAAAAGCGTCACTCCCAAAACCTTTTATGACCTTGAAGTCAATGTTTTGATTTCGACAAAGATATAAAACTTTAACTAAAAACAGTTAAACATGTTGATGCCAGACTTAAAAGATTTCCACAAGCCAATTAAATAAGAATAATCTCAGCAGTGAAACAATTAACTTATCTAATTTAACTTGAGTTAGTTTCTGCCTCTTTTGGAAGGAGAAAATGCTAAAACAAAGCAATGCAAAAAAAATTATGGTAATTAAATTAGTCAGCAAGATGAAACAGAGCTCCATAACATAGATGGTAAAAAGTGTTTCTGAAGGTTAATTTCTCTATTAACTTCAGCCAAAGACAATGTCTGTGGCAACAACATTTATTTATTTTTTATAAATGCCTGATGCAAGAGTTTACTCTTCTCTACACGAAGGAGCAGAAAAGAGAGAGAGATGAGGCAAATTTAACTTATCGACTTCATTTTAATTCATCGTGAGATTAAATGATTTATTGCGTATCCCAACAGGCCTTCGCTGCAGACATTTTATGGTTGAATGTTTTAGACTTCTTGCACAAATCCGCACCAGACTTCTGTCCCTGTTAAACACTTAACTCAAACTCCCCCCGAAAAACTAAACAAACAAGCGAGCAACAACAACCAAGAAGAAGGCGTAATTGATGTGAACCGCAAATCAGACTGCACAGATGGGTCGACCCAGGAGAGCCGAGTCACAGATGTGACTGCTCAGTGCTCATTTCTGTATCAGGAAACAGCTGTGTCTAAAAAGCATTCAAAAAAAAAAAAAACACTGGCTGCAAAACACCAATTATGTAAGAAGTTACAGAGGGACAAATAAGAACACGGGATGGGCCTTTGGTGAGTCATGTGGGATAAAACAGTTCATTGTTTGGTTTTACTGCATAAAAATGTTCAGAGCTTTGTGTTTGCGTCAGCTCAACAATAAAAGTGATGTCAAAACCTTTGAGGTTGATGGGAAAACCACAGAGGCTCTTACCCCGGCTGAGTGGACCATACATTTAGGAGCTCCTGTGGTTCCTGATGAGTACATGATGTACAGAGGATGACTGAAAGGAAGCTGCTCAAACTCCAGCTGAGGAAACTGATCAGCCTCGCCGCGTCCAGATGCCAAGAAATCATCGATGAATACACTGTAGACATTAAAGACGAGAAAATCAATGACTGCCCCAAAATACCTCCACACTTTTGTCAGAAATATTGCAATTCAACCACTTCAGTGCAACTCTTCTGAGACACAAACCTGTTGGGAATCTTGGAGAGGTCGATCTCCTGTTTGGAGCGAACGTAGGGAATCACAACGACTTTATTCAAGTCAGGAAGACCTAAGAGTGGGAGAGGTTGGTGTTATCTTCAAACTTAGCTTTTACAGAAGAAACAAAATAATAAAATTAGCACAAAAAGTAAGGAAATTAATTTTTTTGGTAGAATACTTCTTTCTTGTAACAACACTTCTTGGCAATAAATCTGATTGTGGGAGCCTGATTGGCAGCACCTGGGGGCACCAGAGGCTCAAAGCAATTATCAATAGCAGCAGCCAAATAAGCTGTTTGGCAGAGAAGATTTGGCAAATCGTTCATGTGTACAACCCACACACTCAGCTCTACTGCTCATCCCACAACTGCAGGATCCTTACAAATGTGACACCATTAAAAAGGGGAATTAACAGTTTTTACAACAGTATAAGACACATTGCTCAGAAGCTTTGTTACAACACAGAAATAATATACCAAACATAAATTTCCTTACTGTTTGTGCTTAGTACATATAGTATATTTAAAAAAATTGATTTATAGTCTGGATAAAAACAAACAGGAAAAAAATATATAGAAAATCATAGAAACCAACAGGGACAATAAAATAGACTGACGACAAACTAACACAAGGGAACACTCTGAACTTAATTTTGTGTAGATATTCCTGGGAATGCAATCGCATAAATTCTGAGTCAGCATCTTTTCCAGGAGGTTATTCTCTAAGAAATCTCCCTTGTTTTGTCTTTTATCGACTGCCCTGTCTCTTACAAGTTGTATCTATAGCCTTTTTTTTTCAAACTTTATTAATTTCTTAAAAAAAACAAAAATAATTCTATGTACAATAAAAAAAAGAAAATACAAATAAAATGAAATGAAAGGTGGCAGAGAGAAGAAAATATCTTTTTACATATGTCCCTTTTTCCTCAAGTATAAATTCAAACAATAGTAATCTTCAGTTAAAACAAAACAAAAACATCAAATCTTTCAACAACAAATTATATGGATACAGATTACATTGTTTCATATTTGTTTAACAATCTAGCCTTTATCATTCTTTTAAACATGTACAGTGATTTGGCACTTTTTATATCATCTTCCAGATCATGCCACAATCTGACTCCTTGGATTGAGCTGCATCGTTCTTTCAAACTAGTTCTAAATTTAGGTTTCATGAACATCTTTGTCCCCTTAAGATTATAACAGCTCTCTCCCTTTTAATGCCTTTAGCTAGCTTTTTGCCACTATTAGCTTTAGCCACATTTTCTATTTTCTGGCTTTCCTTCTGCTATTGTACTCTGGCCATGATGGCAGGTTTGTAAAAAAAAAAGTGATTAATCAAAAAGAAAAAAAATACAGTACCATGTGAAACGCGCTCACTAACCTTTCACAACATTAACCAGTTTTTCCATGTGGTCGTGGGTTTTACCGTTGTAAACCACAGCAGCAACTGAGAAGATCAGTTTGGGCTGGATCTGAGAAAATCTGTCAAGGACACCCTGAGTTAAAGAAAAAAAGGACAGAGTTACAATCAGTGAGTAAGTAGGATCAAATTGTGTAATGTAACACTCAAGTCTACATAAAGAATGAAGGATACTGAAAAACCCTGTGAGGGAGATTCACAAGCTAAACTTCAGAAAATATGTTTAATTTGAAAAAATATAACAACATTAATTACAAACAGAAGGGTGACCGTACACTAATAGCACATAAATAAATCTTTAACCTCCATCAGGATAGTAGGTGTAATTCTCAGGTCTGCCAGAGGGGGCAGCAACATATAAGAAAAGCAAATTAAGAGACCAAGAACACAAATGACCATCAAAGAACAAGATACTGCAATTAAGTCATTTGTCTTCTACAACTTTAGTATCACAGACACAAAGCAATGAGTTTGACACATGTAATCAAACAGGACACTGTATAGAAACAGGCCATCAGTGCTGATAAATGAATAAAACGTACAAACATTCATGAACTACAGCAAATTTAAAGATAGTCTGAACAACTGCTGAGATGCCATTGTGTTTATGAACAGAACAAAACATTAAATCCAACATAGGAGAATAAATTTGCCAAAATTCGTACATTAACTCCGAAATCGACAGATGTGGAGCTCCAAATGGCTCCGATGCTGGCAGCTGCTAACATGGCTTCCACTGCATGAACACCATTGGGTAAGTAGCCTAAAGAAGACAAAGTAATGGGAGGAAAACAGAGAAAATGAGGGAGGTTATAAAGGGTTAAATATTAGCAGTTTTACAATAAAACTACTATTTATATGTAATGATTTATGCTTTTATTACAGTTATGTAAATAAAACTGACTTTCTTTACAAAAAAAACCTTAAATATCAAATTGAAATAAAATTTCTACAGAGTAATATCATATAAATATGTAATGGAAAATAAGTGATTGCAGAAATTGTCCCTTATTTTTTGTAAAGAAGGCCATGCAACATCCAAGCAGGTTAATACTTTTTAAAGGCACCGTAAGGTCAACATGAACACTCCTTTTCTTTCATAGATTAGAAGTTTTATTTTCCTGGAACAGCGTCAGCACTTTACTGAGTTATAAAAAAAAAAAAAACCAAAATGCACTGCGTAGACCTAACAAGGAAGCTCGCACGCTGCCTTTAACCAAAAGTCTGTCTCGATGATAACATGTATCTAATCTAAAACAATAACACAAACGGTAGTTCAGTCTAAGCAATGTGGTCAAAGGCAAACAGCAACTGTGATGTCACAATTATTCAGCTGCGTTTGGTTTCTGTACCGTCTCCTGCTGTAATCAGGAAGGTCATTGAGGAAGAGACGCACATCACCACCCTGCTACACTGGATCTACCAGCTCACCCTCTTGCACTGGATCAGGAACAGTTTCATCATGAATTAGGATCTTACTACATAACCTGTTGGACTGCCTCTGTGGCTGCTGTGATGAATCATTGTTACACGTCACCAATACACCGACTTAAACATTAAATAAAAGAACTGAAAGCTTTTAAGACTTAAAAATGTTAATAGTACCTTTAGTGTAAGAGTAATGCTATTATGTCAAATAAAACAAATATTTCAGGAATTTTATAAAATCAAGACACTAAAAGAAACAAAAATATTTAAAATAAACAGAATGTTTTTTTGGTCTGTGACTGAGTGAACAAAGTTTACAGGCAAAAAGAGAAAGCTTGTGGATACTGAGTTTTTAACCTGCTGAGATGTCAATCAAAGGAATCCTTTCAGTATGTGTGTATAGAGAGGAACGTTGGTTTGAGAGAGGAGTAAAAGAAGCCATTTTTGTGAAGACCGTCCATCATTAAACAGAGGTGGAGGCCTCCGTTTTCAGTTGTCCCCCTCCTACAGTGCTGCTACTGCCAGTATCACTCCACCCCCTGTTAACAATAGGTGTTAATTAGGTGTCAATGATAGCCATGTGATGTGAGTATCAGTCACATGGAGGCAGTGCTTAAAAGCCTGAATTTTGCCTGAAACTCTCAGATTGAAGAAGTCTCTTGGAGGAGAGACGAAATGTTTCATTAGAGAAGAACCCGTCCAGAAGACCTATACAATTTTTTTCTTTTTGATTTTTTACCTGGATTACTGAGATGCATCAGGACTACGTGTGCTGATGTTGGACACTGATTATTTGTTTTTAATTCACCTGATTTTCCACATTTGTTGTAGCTGAAAGTAAAAATCTAAGGTTTCACATTTTCCTTCAAAACTAGAAGGAAAATTCAATCCTTACAAGATAAAGAGTGGTTCCAGAGCCATGATATGGGTTTTCAAGCAATGTGAACAGTGACATTAGGGAGAACAATTCCAAGGACAATAACACTGAAACTAAAAGCTGCATGAACAGAAAATATACGAGTGTGTGTGTGGGGGGGAGGGGGGGGGCCTCTGTCTCGACTTCATCAGCTAAGTGCTTATATATCTTCTAGATTAGAAATATTGACAAGACATTTTAGTTGCAATCTGGGGAGAAGGACATCTCTACCTTCAACGCACACACAAACACAGATGTGAGGAATAGGGAGGGATGTGGAAGAAGGAACATCTCTCCCCACCCTGCTCGCTTCTACAGCTCGCCTCTGCCTCCCAACATCCTTCCCATTTTGTCTAATGAGACTCCCACAGAGCTTAAGCCATTAAACTAATGGATTGCCCTCCAACAATATCCATCTTTCCTCTGAGCACAGACACACACACCTTTACACATATCATGGACATCCTTAACAGAACAGCGTTGTAACAATGAGCTTAGAAACTGAAGCTATACTTGTTTGGAACATCACTAACTGCTTCAAAATAAAAGTGAATGGAACATATATGAGACAAAGTGTGCACCTTGAGTTCTGGTTTCTTGATTTAAGCTTTCTGGAGGTGACATGTGAAACGTTACGGTCTGACTAAACTCATTTAACAGCACCCTCTTTATTTCACAGCTAAACATGCCGGTACATATTCCTCCAAGGCAGACTGTGCCAAGTAGGGGTCTCTGCAGCACATGTTGTCCTGTGGGCAGAGTTGGCCCTACCCGTGATTGGGAAAGGGCTTGATGTGGGCGGAGTTGGCCCTACCCGTGACTGGCGGAGGACTTGATGTGGGCATAGCTGGCCCTACCCATGATTGAGAAAGGTCTTGATATGGGCAGAGTTGGCCCTACCCATGATTGGCGGAGGACTTGATGTGGACGGAGTTGGCCCTACTCATTATTGGCGGAGGACTTGATGTGGACGTAGTTGGCCGTAATTGTTATTGGCGGAGTTGGTGTGTTGGCCGGGTTTTCCCTAACCGTGATTGTTTGGATTGGCTTGTCTTGTGGGGCAACTTAAAAGAGGAAGTAATGATAATAACAGTAAAACAGAGGCTGTCTCTCAATTCATGGGCTGCAGCCGACGTCAGCCGCATTTGTCGTCCACTTACGTCACTACCCCGCGCTGTAGGCTATCCCAATTCGTCTGCGCCATCACATGCGGACAACAAATGGGCCAACAAATGTGGCTGACAAAACCCTGAAAACGTAGCTACATCTATAGGGTAGACCATCCTTTTTCAAAGCCATTTATGCACCTTCCTGTCTCTCTTTTACAGGCTGGTTAGGGATGTTTTGACCAAGGCAAATTCTTACATGTCCCTTCATATGTACGGCGTTCAATATTTGTGCAGCTAGCAACTTCCTGTCTCAAATTTAGAATAAAATTCTTCTTAAAAAACATAGGTGCTTCCTGCCCGACTAGACCAAGCTGCTTCCTGCTGCCCCCAGCTTCTTCAAACCCCACCGTCAATCTGACCAATCCCATCTTGGGCCAACTCCTGCCACAAAACAAGAAACTCCTACTTAGTGACTGCAGAGAGCCCCTTCTCAACTGTGCAGGATATCTGCTGAGTCATTTTGTAAGACATTGTTATTCTCCATTGTTGCTCAATACTTATATTTAACCAAATAAAACTCTCTAATGTTAAAATCACAAGTAATTATGAACGCGTCGTCAGTCTGTTCTTGTGGGACATATTTTTGGGTCAAATAAACGGATTTGTAACAAGTACTGGAAGCATAACTGGGTACAACAGGAGTGATCAGACTGAATTAAAATTTATACCAAATTAATAGCGGAAAGAAAATTTGAAGACTCCGACCCATTAAAGAAAGCTGACACCAATAATAAGAACTTCAAGTGGGTGGGAGCTTTATATCATTTTGCCTGTTTTCCCCACATGGAAGTGGTGACATTTTCATGTCACCAGACATAAATTTTGCTTTCATCATGAAGCTGAACAAAATGTTCCAGATGTTTTAGATGCCTTTTTATGTTGTTGACCATTAATGCAAAATAAATAAAGAAAAATGAACTTTGCACAAAAAAAGTTTGCAGTCTTGTTGGTTTTTAACATGTTTAAAATTATCCACATTCTGTATTCTCCAGACAGGCTTTTGTAATGTGTGCAGAATGTGGTTTTACATGATCTAATGTTCAAAAATAATGAATAAACACATATGGAAATGTTTGTTTTCTTGATTGAATATGTTGCCCTAAAAAATCCACGTGTTTCTTTTTTTAATTTGTATTAACGCTAATGATTTCACAGGAGTAACAAAGTGACATGTAAGCTTACATGAATATTTCGATCTGTATGAATGTGCTGCAAAGTCAGGCACTGAGGCAAAATATGTACCCTCTGTGATTCCACCTTACACAAACATAAATTCTGACTAAAAAATGGCGGCTTTCAGAAAGAGCTGCAGCTGGTGCCAAAGCAGCCTCCCCTCATTACCTGTGAGCGCACACACATATTCATACACACACACACACACACAGCTGAGACAGCCAACTCTTACTGCAACATGTTAAAAATAGGAGACATTAAAATAGTGAAAGCATCAAGGACAATACAAGGTGAAAAGAATATGTTCACGACATGAATATACAGATATTTACCAGTTAATTTCACCAATAAAGAGCAATTTACTTGGCTAGATAGCTATTGTCTTGTTTTTTGTTCTATTTAAGGAAAAAGCCAATAAAACTCACCGACAACCCTGTCTCCAGTCTGGATGCCCATCTTCCTCATGGCTGCAGCAAACAACGCCACATCACGCCTCAGTTCTCCAAATGTTACCTTCGAAATCTCCTCCTTCCCTTCTCCTAGTACACAGAAACAAGAGCAACACTGGAAATATGCAAGACATTTTTTACTGTAAATCACAACTGGATATTAACTGAATGTTTTATACTTCTGTGTGATAACATTTACTGTAGCACTAAAACTCAAATAAAGGAATGATGTAAGATAAGAAAAAGAAGATAAAAATCACAATGAAAACCAAGAGGTGATCGAGTAAGAACAGAGCCACGGGACAGGAAAACAATGCTTATCTCTCAAAGCAAATAGACCACTGACATTCACAGAGACTGCACAGCAATGGATCTTCTCATAATCATGTTAATGCTCGTGAGGGAGGCAGCGTGTGTACAAGAACACACTCTCCAAGGTACGCACACACATTATAGAAGGACCTATTCATCAGAACGAAACACTGAGAGGTAAAGAGAGCAGCAGCAGATCTAATAACAGTGATGTATGACGCACACCATCAGATTGAATAAAGTTTTCCAGTACATCTTTAGCTCTTATAGCTCCATTTTATTTTATTTTTTTTTACAATTTTACACTTTATGTGCACTATAACTATAACTATAACTGTAACATGAACTTACGCGCAGCATACAGAGCCACCTTGTCCTGGTCTGTGTGTTTAAGCAAATTCTCAGCGTAGTTGAGTCGAGCTCCTTTAAACCACTCAGGAACATCTGAGATTGGCTTGGATGCATCCACCACCTGTTAGTTATGCATGAACACAGAAACAGAAGAGAACTAAACATCAAAAAAAGCTCGTAGAAAATAAACAGAACAACAAAGTTTTTCGTTATTAAAATCGCCTTGTCTGTAACATGTTGTTCTCCCACATTTACAGATAGATCATTTCTGTTTGACCATCAAAACAAATGACCTGTGAGAAATGGCCCAGCCTACAGCGCATCAGGGCTCCAAAATGGCTGACTGACTGGTTAAATGTGTCCAGGTAACATCTCCTTGGACAAATATTAGAAAGGAATATGTTGGTGAGAACATGTGGACGGCAAACAAAGTGGAAAAAGACATTGATGTGTACAAGAAAGGTGTGTCAACGGGATAACACTCATTTATTGCCCCAGACAGGAGGCTGTATCCTGGAACTTACAGGGAACATTATTAGATAGCAATAAGAAGAAACAAAAAATAAAATTTATTTTGGCTGTGCACCAAAACCACATTATTTGTAATCCATCAGATTATTTTATTGTCACACGAAAATACAATAACGTTGAAAAAAAAGCACCACAATTCATAACTTTAATTAATAAGAAGGAAAAAACACATTTTAAGTTTTTTTTTTTCACTGCCAGCCATGTCAAAATGTCTTTTTCTCTCCATGTTTACAGTGTGCATGTGTGTTGTTCTGTTTGTGTGTTTGTTTGCAATAGTTGCACTCACCTCCTCGTATGGTTTGGAGCTGACTACTCCACAGAAACGCCACACTTCTGTCCAGAATTCTGGGTAATTGTCCACCGACCACTGGTAAAGGTCACTGTAGTTAACTAGAAAACAGGGAATCAGTCACTACAAGAGAGCAAAGTTWACGCCAAACCACTGACACAGAACAAATAAAGACAGCTACTTGTCTTTGGGTGCCTGTCAAAAKCCACAGATAACCTCCAAATAAACAAACAGCCAAAGAGATTTTTGCTTTGTTCCGCAATAAATTCCACTCATGATCCAGTGATAAAAAACTTAAGTAAATCTCAGCTTCCATCAGTGGGACAGTGGGCATGGTTCTATGTGTCAATACACAACTATCAACCTTACAACCACTGACAGGTGAAGTGTTATAAACTTCTTGGTACAGTGGAACTGGACAGTAGTTTGGATGCATAAGGAAACACCAGAATGTCCTGGCCTAAAAGCTGCTGAGTTTGAAGAATCTGGCAAACAAGTTTCAGAATGACCAAAATGTGATGGACGGTAAGGTTTTCTGCTCAAATGTACTTGTAAGTTAAATATATACAGTACATGTAACGTTTATATTGTTTCCAACAAAGAGGTGACACAAAACAAGTCAAAGTGTCCATGCTGACCAGCGTCCACTGTTGAATGGGCACATGAGCGTCAGAAAACAGACAGCAGAGCAAAGCCATTAAGCACCATAGTCTGAAGAACTGCATCAGAGGGAGTCTTTTTGCTGCTCTCCTTGGGGAAAACATGGCACCAGGATGCACCTAAAGAGAAAGTAATTCTGCGGTACTGTGGTGCTTTGAGAGCTGAATAAATAAATCTGAAGTCTGACGGTCCCTGCTTACAACAGGGCATAAAGGATGCACTGTTGATGCTGTGGCACCAAATATCAAAGTCAAGTGGAGTGCATGCTTCGATACATGAATCAGAATATTTTTGGTGATCAACATTATAAACTAATTCAGACACTCAAGGGATCTGCTAACTCCTGCCAACTAAATCTACATCATCAAGGACCAACAAGGACAAGCAGAAGTCAAAGTGACTCGAACAACATTTACCCCCAACCATGATTTAAAGCATCTCTTCTGTTCTTTTAGCTCATGTTTCTTTATATAAAAAAGCAACACTAGTTCAGTGGGTTTAAATTTTTTTGGTTTCGTACCCAAAAAAATGTAAGTGGCAAAAGATTGTGACCCCATCCAATGTTGGTTTACATACATGCATTGCAAATATAAACCCTAATAAAACAAACAGTCCTTGTGATGGACTTGCGACCTGTCCAGGGTGTACCCCGCCCCTCGCACTGTGACTGCTGGATATGGGCACCAGTGACCCACACAACCCTGAAAAGGAAGAAGCGTGTACAGAAAATGGGTGGATGGATGGAAAACAAACAGTCATAACAATCACAATACCAGTTTTACTACGTTTATTATTTAACTAGGGCTGCCATGATTAGTCGATTAGTCGACGACTAATTGATTATTAAAATAATCGATGACTAATTTAATAATCGATTAATCATTTTCTTTTTTTGTTCTTTACTTTGTGTTTCTCTCCAAACGTCTTTGGCACCTTCCACTGCCACATCTGCTTTTCTGTCCATGACACACATGCACAGTAGTGGTAACTGGGGTAGGCCGTGGACGTCACAAGACATGGGCTGTGTCCAAAACGGCAGGACGGGTCCTCCGAAGGCCGAATTTGTCGGCCGCATACGTCACAGCGCCGCGACGAAGGMCGTCCAAAACCGAAGACTCCTCTGATGCGGCCGACAAATACGTCCTTCCTTTTCCCCGATTTGAAGGACAGGTCTGATGGATCCTTCCCGGCCCAGCATATCCCATAATGCATTGTGGCCCGACCAGAGATTTTTTAAAGCTAGTAATGCCGGACGAAGCGAGAGAAAAGAATACGTTTTAAAGGCACAGTGTGTAGGATTTGTTGTTTTCAGCGACATCTAGTGGTTGAGTGGTTGAATCATCC